TGTGCCATGAACTCACAGACTGAGACACCGCTATAACACCGTCGGGGAATCAGTATGACCGTACAACGGTGGGATGATGGCTGAACTTAGTTACAGCGCTCTTTCACCTCATTGTGCTTGAAGGTATAAATGTGGCTTTCTATTGGATGAAAAAGGGGTACAATCTTTTTCAGCGTTAACACACAGCTCTACAGGATCCTACTAAGTCAGAGCGGTGCTGTGTCTATCACCTAGCTTACAGTATTAACATAGAAAATACGTATTGACTGTATGGTGATATTTATTGTGCTGCCTGAGTCTCACATCTAAAGAAGGTCAGTTTCCAAATGGCTCCGACCATCTGGGAGCCGGCCTCGCAGAGTCTCCGTCTTCACTTGTATCTCCACCTCCTGGAGAACTTGGTCACGTCTCGTCTCCTCAACAGCGGGTCCTCCTCTCGCCCCCCCCCCCCCCATCTCATCTCAACAGCCTCCAGTGTTGCTGTCAAAGTCTCACCTCGCTGCCAGAGGACACAGCCTCGGCCCGCCGAGAATGTGGCAGCACCACGCTATCTCCAAAGTGCCACATTTAACTGCCCCCCCGCCCACCCCCCTTCCTTCACCCGACAGCTAGCATGTGGCTTCAACCTTCCCACACGCCCCACTGCTACTGCTAAAACTGTGCATGTGTAAAAAGTTTGTCAGTTTTGTACACTATTTCTGCAGCTTTTGTTATTTTCAGAAACTGATTTCACAGATTGAATCCACACACGTCCGTCTCCTCTCACGTTTCCATCCCAAATTAAACTTGTTGCTCTAAAGCAAGACAACGAGATATGGATGGGATGAGGCTCTCCCACAAAGCGACCGTGTCGTCCAGTTATACTGGAGGCATTATTGTAATAATAATGACCTCACTGACATGTTTTAGCTGAAGTTTCCCATTACTGTGAGCCCTGCTAACTGATATACTCAGCAGCGGTGTATTCATGCTTTTACACGTCCATTAGCCGAGGCTTTTATCTCTGCAGCTCCAGCATCACGATGAGCAATAAATAAAAAAGCTCATATCCAGAAGAAATCATTTCATAAACCACATGCACAGAAGGATAACACATCACTGCTTGTTTTGATGCATCAATGTAGACACACCTGTTCCTGGTGCCTTCTTTTTAAACCTACAATGACCGTTTGTGCAGCCTAAATGACCTTCTCCTATCCCGCTGCTAATCTGATGAAGGAGGTTTTATCAACCGATAATCAGTGTTTTGTTCAGGTGGAGTTAAAGTGAATGTTGTCAGCAGCTCCTCACTGGTACTCGGTAGCCAATCGTTGGGATTAACGTCCGGCATCAGTCAGGGTTTGTGTGCATCTAATGAGGAGCGGCGAACTCAATTAGCATGGCGGCAACAAGCTTTACAGCCCAACGAGATGATCCTGATTATGTTCTCAAAGGCTAAAAACAAACCAACTGGACTAAATACCAATGATTTTTATTCTGCATGTGAGGCAGGATGCACACGGCAAGCAACACGATGTCGCTCAGTATTACCTCAAAGGATATTTCATAAAAGACTTCAGTTGTGTAGGAACACTTTAAAGTAAGTGAAGACAAGACAAAGGCAGCGTGCGATAGAGACGGTTTTGCTCGGTCAGGCGGCGTGCGCCCATTCACACTGGATCCGTTACTGGATGGTAATGGTATTCGGGACAGCCCTTGAAATAATACTAGGGGTCTGGCCGGAGGAACTCAAGGTGAAGTCTGAGCGGAAAATGCGGATGTTTGCGTTCACACATGCAGCTCCTCCTGGAGATCTTCAGGAGATTCCTGCAAGTGTGAAAGCTATAAACTATTAGAGGAAGATTTGAGTATAATTTAATAGTGAGTGGTATCCAGTGAAGTCCAGGTACAGGTCTTTGTGTTGTGTGTTTGGGTGTAGCACTAAGCCTCTCGTGGTGTAAAGATCTTCATGTTGATGGACTCTTTATCTAAAGGATTAAAGGCTGCTGACTTATTTACTTCTCACGAGGGTTGTGTGTGTCTTAAAGCTAGAGAGGTGTGCTTCGGCACGCTACAGTATCTCATGCACGAGTACGCGACATGGACATGAAGTGTAATCGATCTGCGGAGTAACTCAACTATTAGTATTTATTATCATCCTTCTCTGTGCTCGAGAGCCAAACTGGAAGACAACGTTCCTGCAAATGTGGATTCATCCGCCACTGAAAATAGTCCCCAACACATGCAGCATTTCATTTTACTGACTTGATGTAAAAGAAGGGATGTGACCGATTAGCTACCTTAACGATTACACATCGTCACCCTCGCTAGTCCCCAGAAAAAGGAACCGAAACCTGCAAGATCATTTGATAACAAACAAACGTGAAACAAAACCAACGACTGCCTGGAAGAAGGAAACGACATTTCTCACCTTACTGAACATCGTCACAAATGATGAGCAGTCACGTAAACGAGACACAATATGCAAAAATATAGTTTAAAAAAAAGGAGGGGCAGAGGACCATAAAACCGTTATGTACCCGTTATAAAGCAAGTTGTTTGATGTTTGAGGAGAATCTGGTATTTTTAAAGCTCTCTTTTTGAATACTTCAGGGTTCAGACTACTTGTGGTGGGTGACGACGCTAAACGCTATGATGGATAGGCCGGGTCTTTGTAATATAGCAATAAGTAAGGTACTTTACCTGCTTTTTGTAAAGTGTCTCGAGATAACACTTGTTATGAGTTGATGCTATACAAACAAAAACTGAAAAAATTGAATTGAAATGAAACATTTTGGAATAGCTCCAGTAAATCGCTGAATCCTCAAAACAGGCTGCGATGGCTGCAACATAATCCTGAGAACCCAAATGAGCCGAACCGAATTACAATTTACAGAATGAAGACAGTGACACCGCTTCTTTTCTAGCCCAACGACAACTGTGCAACGTAAACGTTCTGTTTTTAACAATGAAGTCTGGCCGTGTTCGAGGAGAACGACATGGCAGCTGATTTTCATTGAAGAAATATCTTACTCTACAACAAGTGTTTCTATTTCTGATGGGATCTTTTCTGTAATGAAACAACAATCTGAAGTTTGGGGGAAATGTTGAAGCCATAACGGCCTGTTTCAGCGCTGCAGGCTGAACAATGAAAAACTTTTTCTGTGTCATTAAGAACCAACATCACGGCTTAAATAAGACTAACACACTATTACTCTTTCACCCATGTCGGTTAATATTGACATTTGTCAGCTGAGCAACATAATGAGCTGTTGTCAAGACGTGCCGGAGGGGGAGAATTCATTACAAACCCTGAGGGCCTTTTAACCTGAGCACTGAAGGTGAAATGATTGTTTTTAAACATGTACAGGGGGCGGGGCCTCTCGCCTCTTTATGACATATTAATGGTTACAAGAGATATAGGAGGTAATGATTGATTCCACATCATTAAAACTCTGGTATATGAATGGGAATCAATGTAGGCCGTTATGTAATATCCCTTTATTCAATCATTTTAGGTGGAACAATCAACAGGCTTCAGATTCATTACTGTGTCTAACACACTGCGCGGATCACTGCGTTCTGCTGATCTGCCAAGACAAGCCCGTGAGTCAATGAATAGCTGACCTCCGCCGAAATCGCCCCGGTTCAAAATATGATGTCTGTTTTAACCCACATGTGCACTTGTAGAGCCTCTCTACTCGTGTGTGTGTGTGTGTGTGTGTGTGTGTGTGTGTGTCAGGAGCAGTTTGTGATTAATAAGGTGTAGAAGTGTAAACAAAATCTACACAAATGCAGTATGACTTTACAAAGCTGCTGCACACACACACACACACACACACACACACACACACACACACACACACACACACACACACACACACACACACACACACACACACACACACACACACACACACACACAGAGGGGTTTTCATTCGACTTACTGTGACATTTATAAACCTGGTATGAAATGCATCTATCTCATTAACCAAATACCAACCACATCCTCTTCGATTTTCAGATGCATGCTACATGAAACCTGTTCTGAAGAGACACATTCAAAGGCCTGATGAGCTGCGTAGAGGGGACAAAGGGATGTGCAATTATGTGTGGATGTTTGGGGGGGGGGGTGTATTATTTAAATCTGATGTCAGCTGTAGCCTCATCTGATGGCCTACTCGTACTGCAAACAGCATGGATGAGCACAGGAGCGATGCATGGTTTGCTCCACACAGCACTTACACAAACACAAAACAAGACTCAGCAGCTGGAAATAATGTGCAGAACATGCTCCACAAAATGTATAAACGATCTCAGTGTCACTGAAGCACGCCTGGAGGATGATGGGAATGTTTTACAGAATATAATAGATATATATAAACTGCATGCAGAAGCATTACAACCAGCAGCTGTGAGCTTCTGTATCAACATGCTGCAGCTGAAAGATGCTAATTCAGTGATTGCATGGTTGTTGTTTTTGCAAAAAGCTCTACAGTCATATTTCTCAGAGGATCCAAAGTACTATTCACAAACACCGATGGCCTCAATGAATGTGCTGCAAAGGAAACATATTTATGGTGTGGTTATAAGTGAAGGAAGCCTGGGAGGTATGGTGAGCGTTTGTCAGAATAATGTGACACTAATTGCAAAGGAAGAACTCCATCAACACTTCATATTGTTACCAAAAATAAAAGAGAAAATCATGGGAAATCTTCTGCATCACAACCTACTTTTCTGGTTTCGTTAGATTTTCTGAATCACTAGAATAAGTTGCTGATGCATTTTTAGGAGTAAGATGGTTTGAAAATTGCGTCTTGGCATCATTTTTTGTTGTTGTTGCATGTTTGCAGAAAGCTCCACAGTCACATTTCTGTGAGTATCTACAGTAAGTCACAGGTTTGAAGAGGAAGCACGCCTCCACCTCCCTACACGGCTGCAAAGCATTTACAATGTATATTGACGAAATTAGCAGGCAGACAGCTCAACACCACACCACAGCGCTTTGTTAATGTGCTTACCTGGGCTCAGGCAGGATGATTTTCTTACTCGCCCGGGCCGCTGGAGTAGATTTGCTCTTCTCCATCGCCATCAAATAACTGACATCGGCGAGCACTGCTTCGAGGTCCGCCATCTTTCGACCCTGGTGCGACCAAATCAATAAAAATAAAATAAAACCCGGGGCTGGGGATGGGTTCTGGTTTTGGATGATTATACAAAACAATGTCCTCCTCCAGATAACATGAAGCAGTGAAGGTGCGTGACGGGGGGCCCAGCGGAGCGGACGGCGGGGCTGACCATCGACTGGAGCGGCTGGTGTCGTTGTCTCCGGCTGCCCTCACACTCCCATCATTGTGACAGAAAAAGGGAAATTGAGGAGGGTAGACATTTGGGTGACAGGTTACTGCAGAAATAACACACAGTCACCATGCAGGGCCGCCTGATCTCCGTCGTTGTAATCCCATTTAGTGCAGAAACGCAGGTTTCTCCATGCAGGGCGTATTGTGAGAGAAATGCTGCAAGAAGGGAAAAAAAAGGGGGCCAGATGAGATCTCGTTTTTTTAAGGCTTCCTCGCTTTATAGTCTCACAGAGATGTACCAGATGCTGGATTCTGGAGACAGCTGTCAAATCCTACAGGTCTCTGAGGGGGGGGGGGGGGGGGGGACTCTCCTGGTCCTCTTGGTGGAAATCCGCCTGGACGACTGGTCTTTCTCCAGTGCTGCATGTGTTTCAGTGTCTTTAAAATGTAAACACTGCGCTTTCAAAAAAATAAAATAAAAGAAATGCTCCAATTTCAGAGGCTGCACAGTGACAGCAGAAAACAATAAAACCCGGACACGTGTTGCAACCGGAAAAAGGGAAAATTAGGAGGTGACAGGTTGAAATGTGTCTCAGTGAGGAGGACACTGCTGCTGTTTGTAGCAACAACTAAAAAATGCAAATCTCTTAGAAGCGTTTTGGCACACAAGCTCAGGACTCCATGAAATCTTCAGAGCGCTTCTTGTTGTTTATGTTGCCGTCCTGCTCCTCCTGCTCCTCCTCCTGCTCCTCCTCCTCCTCCTGCTCCTCCTGCTGCTGCTGCTGGCTTCCTGTAAGACTGAAATGTCCCCCAACGGCTCATCAATCATACAAAAATGTCCTTACAGATGTAGTTTAACACCTCTGGATGGTTAACACCGAATCCAGTAGGAGAAAGAAGGTGAGAGGAGCTAATAAAGATAAACCCGACACGACTCTCTGGGAGCTAACGCGCGTTTAGCCTGCTGCCAATATCGATATCTACTAGTTAGCCGCCACGCTAGCTTAGCAAAATGAAACCTGCTAGCCTCAGTGGGCTAACTATCGAGTGAGGTGTGGAGTGATTTATCATCTAGTTTGAATTATTTCCGTCCAGAAGACACACAGAAACGCTCCCGTTGCCCAGCCGTAAACACACCAACAGAAACACTGGCTCGATTTCAAAACAGTAAAATATCGTGAAGCTAACGGCTGCGAGTTCAAACGGCTGCTCGTGTCGGGGAAGTCCTGCACCGTTTCCGAGAAGTCTCCAAGAGTCCGAAACGGCTTTAAAAACCAAGAGAACCCCGCAGGAAGTAATCCATAGCTTCTTGTTGAGTAACCCCGGGCGTTGGGGTTGAGGGGGGGGGGGGACACTCCTCGCCTGCAGACCCAGCACAGAGCGACTGACTGTGGGCTGATGGTGACGCTGATGGTGGTGTTGGTGGAGGATAGTGATGGGAGTTCCGGTTCTTTTCGGTGATTCGGATCTTTTGGCTCGACTCAGCAATAAGAGTCGACTTTTTCGGCTACTGAAGTTTCTTCATTTAGACCTAAGGAAGAGGATTAGGGCCACACATTAAAACAAATAAATCAAATAAAAAATAGAGTTCTGACTTTATTCTCAAAATTCTGAGGATAAAGTCAGAATTCTGTTTTTTGTGTGGCCCTAATCCTCTTCCGTATAGACTCAGTGGTGTCCAAACTTTTTTTCTTGCGGGCCAAAATTGCCGTGTTAGAATCGCTCGTGGGCCACAGGTTTTTTTTTTTTTTAATAGAGTTGAAAAGATAGTCAGGCTTGTAGATCAGAATCAAAAGGCTCGCTAAAGAAACCCTTTAATAAAAGGAAATCAAATATTTGATTTCTTCGTTCTACTTTATTTGTTTTTTTCCTCAGAATCAAGCCTGTAACGTGGTTCATGTTTTTGGAAAAGCTTTCTGCATTTAGCTCAGGTCATTAAATGGTTAAACAACAGTCCGCTTGTTTACAAAAACTTTGCATGAGTTTTTTTTCATAGTTTACAAAATATTTGGAAAATAGTAAAAGCTGTAGATTTAAAAAAAACAACAACATACATGTTACTGAACATTTTCTATTTTAGGAATATTGTTCAGCCCTTGTTAATATGAAAAATAAAAATAAGAAAATGTGCCGATCTTAATCGAGGCCTCGGGACAAAATCTTCTGATTCTTCATTTGAAGTCACGGGCCACAAAAAATCCCCCAAGGGCCGCAAATGGCCCTTGGGCCGCACTTTGGCCACCCCTGATTTAGACCAACTAGAGTTCCATTAGTTTCATAAATAATTACTGTTATGTGTTTTCAAAAACATATATCACTCATCTTTTATATTTATTACACTGCTTCTATGCTACCAGTTAAAAGCTAGTCACGAGCCCTTTTCAGACCGCCGTTTCAGATCTCGGTATTCACATCCCCGTGCCGTTTCTCCTTCAATATGGATGTCGCTGAGGCATAATGGAGGGTCCTCTGTACCGTCTTCAAGAAGTAGCCTAACAAAGTGCGTTAAAGAGGCGAGACGGGAAAGGTGGAGCCAGAGCTGAGTGTGTGTGCATGTCTAACTGTGTGTGTATGTGGAGCTCCCTCTGTGCTCTGCGCAGTTACCCGATGTGAATTTACAGACTGGGGCACCGATATCACACCGTTAGGGATTCAATAAGAATGTACAAAGACATATTGACGGCTTGGCTAAGTTACAGCGATGTTGCAGAAACACAGTTTAACCCACATTCTAACATATTGTCTGCTAGATACTAAATCAGTACTGAATACTAACCTGACTGTTAGTATGGCGTTAGCAACAGACTAAATAATGGGTCGTGACGTTCTTTAAATCCAAGCTAAGTGGGATAAGTTCGCGTCTAGCTAGCACAACAATTGGTCCGTACCATAGACTGTTTGAATCATTTTAGTATTATTGGACAACATATAAAATGCTTTACAGTACAGTTACTTTTAATTTTGGCTGGCTGGCGAGCTCTGCTGCTGGACAGTCTGAGACTGGCAATGTAGGGCAGTTTAGTACGACTTGTGTGGATATACACAAAATTGCTTACTATGATTCAGATCGTACGTCATACTCAATGTGACGTCATATTTATTATGAATAGTAGGAAAGAAAGCGGTTTCGGACACAGCCTTTGACACTGTGTTGGCTAAAGTAGCCCCAAATAATAACACTATCTCTTAAAATGTTTATTTAGGCTGATTACATTGTGATAAGTTGCAAGAAAAAAACCTACTAAATAATATGGTTCCTAAACACAACATAGAAGGATAGATGGAAGGACGGATGGACGACTGGATGATAGATAGTGATGCATTTAAAGGAGTCGTTTCTTAAAGCAGATTCGTTCTTGAACGGCACATTACTCGTGAAGGAGGGGGAGGGAGCGCTGGGAGATGTAAATTAGCTGGCAGCGGTTAGTTTGACTGTTAAAGTAACCTGTTACCTCAATGATACAACTTATGCAAAACATTTTCTTAACCACATTCTTAAGTTAAACAGCAAACACAAAACGGCACTCCTCTCTCCTACCTCTTCACGGTTTATAGTTGGTAAATTAATTATGTATTTATATTTAAAATACTTTGTAGCCTATTGATTTTACAAATAACTAATAATAATGAGAAGAAATCTGCTTTAGAAATAAAGAGATTTCCTTATTCACATAAAAGAACCGGCTCTTACAGCTGACTCGTGTTCCCTTCAGGTGCTCCCAAAATGCTCAGAGTTTTCAGGTTAAAGAGCCGTTCGTTAAACCTCTGTGTGTTCTAAAGCTTTTAATTTGAGTCTTGAGTCGTGTCTGGTTGTTCTGTGATGTTTTAAACAAGTGTTAACCAGTGAAGTGTGTGAACTACACTGCAGATTGTCTACTCGGTGGTGTAGCTGTGGCTCAGCGGTTGATCGTTTCTTAACCGGAAGGTCGAGGGTTGGATCCCCAGCTCCTGAAACACGTCAGAAAAATGGCAAGACACTTAACCCCAGGTTGCTCCTGCTGCTTCGGCAGCGGCAAATGTCTATGCATGGGATTTAGCTAATACTGCAACCTCTGCCATCAGTGTGTGAATGTGTAAGTGTGACCTGCGTTGTAAAAGCACTTTGAACAGTCAGAAGCAGCCAGTCAGTAGAAGTGGTTTGGCCTCTCCTTATCCCCCCTAATGGACGGCTTTAAACGTTGTTCAAACAGCTCTACACGCCCTCTCTTCACCCTCACTGCTCTGTTTATTATAAACAAGAAACCAACTGTAAATTGGTAATAGTCCACGTCTGAACTCTCACTATGACGCTTGTGTAAAATGTTCTTAAACCAGTATGAGATGTTGCAAATAGAGAATACAATACAGAACATCACAATTAATTAATGCTGTACAGCACATGGTATGACATCATCATGAAAACTTCTCTCAGCACCCCGACCTGAAAGTGACCGCGTCCCTGGGGTTCACTTTGGGGAAAATAATAACACATCATGCCCCCTAAAAAAGATTAACCAAAATGTATTCGACAGCAATGAACTGTTACAGCCTAATATCTCATTTCAACGTACAAACGACCAAATTAAGAATTTTTCAATCCTTTTTTTTCCCCACATAAAGGCATTTACGTTGGTCACCCATGAGTTTGCCTAAAGTGACATAAGTTTTGTCAACTCGGCAAGTCATTTTTAGTTTCTATTTTTTTACATGAGGGAGGTCATTTTCCAAGTCGTGTATCACTTCTCCGATTATTCCCTCAGCACTGAAGGCAGCAGGCAGCTCTTTCCTTCCGCCCGTTAGAGGGGATTCCGTCCACTCGGTTTTTTTGTCTTCATTTGTCCGTTTCCAAGCACACGACCTTTTATGATAAGTTAATGTAACATATATTTATGTTCATATATTCTTTCTCACAGTGTGGCACCGCTTGTTTTGTGGACCAACTTCCTCCCACTGCGGCGGGAAGGCAGCTAGCAAAACCCGGAGAGGAACCTGCTGACTGGAGCGGGACCACAATGGAGGACAGGTTTGTATTTTCGATTTTTCTTTGAGATTATTCAAGCAAAATCAGCATTTGATTCATTTTTTTTATAACAAGTAATGAACCCCACATCGAGCTGCATGTACAGGTAAATACAGAAACAGTTTAAATAAGAGAAGGTTTCTGTTTTTAAAGGGGACATATTCTGAAAAATCCACTCCTACAGTGTTGTTGAACATATATCTGTGTAACCTGAGAGTCTACTGACCCACAACATGTGAAATAAATCCATCCAGTCCTTTGTTTGTGGTCTGCATAAGTCTTACAACACAGAGAAAAATGCTCTGTTTCTAATGTGCTCTCCTTGTGATGTCACAGTGGGATTCTGGTAAATAAAAATCCCCTCCCCTCCCCTGATATCTCCACCCATAGACTCCACCCCCAGACTAGAGCTAAACTTTTGCACGTATCTGCCATTTTTATTCTCTCTACAGAGGATTGATGTCTACGGGGAAAACTCGGGGGGGGGGGGGCTCATTGCATTTAAAGAGACACACACACCAAAACGGAGCGTTCTGAGAGAGCTGGTTTATACAGGGTCACAAACCTCCTCTGGTGCTTGATTCATGTTAGATTTTGATCAAAGCACAGCACAGATGTTTCATTTAGACCACAGGGGACTGTTTGAAAAGGTGGAGGAGGGGGGATAATATGTCCTCTTTAAAGATGTGGGGCTAATTTGCAGTTGATGATTAACGACGTTAACTGGGAATAGCATCGACCAGTCTGTCTGTAAGGAAATTCCCACAGGGAAGAAATAAGGGAGGGTGTACTTAGCTCTATTTTTAATTGAATGAGTGAAGGCCTCACCGCAGGACAATAATCATGCACTAAATCACCACTTTTACTCGATGTCAGCAATAAAAGCGTTGTGTTTGTTCCCATTGAATGTGCACAGTCACGGAGCAGCAGCCCCTGTCAGTGAATGTACCAGCAGAGCTCGTGGTTCTCTGTGATGAACCAGTGAGCTGGATGTGTAGTTAAAGTGGAAACACAGCGCCGTCCCCTGGCTAGTAGCGGTACTGCTCCTCATACACTTCAATGGAAAGGCCTTCTGTAAACAACCACATAAAAACACACACATCTAAAATAGATATTTTGAAATGTAATTAATTGGGGGAAGTGTTTCTACGGTGGCTCTGAAGGTCAACTGCACAAGATTTAATGCTCAAAAGAATGCAAAAGAAAATCTCACCAGACAGCTAAAACGTTCAGCCTCAGCTCCAGCTCTCAGCATGTTTTTAGGTTGACTGAAAGTTAGGGTGCATTTGCAGCACGGAGGTCGCCACCAAGGGGGCACTACGTTCCTCTCGTGTGATAAATGAGTAGCAGTACAAACAAGCTTTGTCAGGTGGATGAGCATTGTGGAAACCCCAGACACGTGTGGT